CCCCGCCGGTGGGCGGGGCGGCGTCACAGCCGCCGCTGCTGCAGCAGTCAGTTGGCCTGGGCTGGTGGTTGGTGCCCAGACTGGCGGCAGCAAGCCTTTCCGGCATCCCCCTGGGCACGTGGTTGTGAATTGCTGATCAGCAATACAAGCGCAATACTAGCCTCCCCTCCATGTGCATGTGGTGCACGCACGCACACACGCGCATGCACACACACACACACACACACACACACACACACACACACACGCACGAACCCAATGGCACTTCCTCCCAAGCAGGCACGCCAGCACGCACATGCACGCATGCCTGTACTCAACTTCACAATTGTCTCCCTCGCGCTCCCCCCCTCCCTATGCCATTCGCAGCGAGGCAATCATCCAAGGGGGCGGCATCCTTGACAAGGTGTCAAAGCAGTGGGACATCTTCGCACCAGACGGGCCCCCGGGCCCCAGCCCCCTGCAGGCTCCCTGGGCCGGCCACGGCCGCTTCCCCAGCGCTTTCATGTGATTATCTACAGCCGCAGCCGGGCCTTAGCCCGCAGCGGCGTGCGAGGGGCCGGCCCGCAAGGCTTTCAAAAAAATGGCGCGGAGTGCCTGTGATTTGAATTTGGGACAGGGCAAGCGGGAGGCGTGGTATGGGTCAGCCTGCGCCAATGGGCGGCCCCGCGCTGGCCTCAGTTTTATGGTCGTCGTTTTTCACCGCAGCAACGCTTTGACAACGCGTGTTCCAAAAGCGTCAGTGACCTGCCAGAAGCGCCAAGGCGGCGGCACTCACGCCCTGCCTGGTTGACGTAGGCAGATTATGCAAGCCACACCACGAGCAACGCTCCCACATGGGGCGAGCACGCAACACGCCAAAGAGCAGCCCTTGCTGCAATGCGGGGGTTGCGACTTCAGGTACCGTATGCATGGCTCTTTTCTGAGTGTGTGTTTTGAGGGATGTGCTGTCAGCTTGTACCCCCTGCTTGCCGGCACCGTGAGCGGCGCGGCTGCCCAGGGTTGTGATGCTTGGGGTCTTGAGAGGCCTCGCGCGGCCTTGTCCCACGGACTCGTGTCCCCTGTTGTATCACCACCCACCTTCACGGCCTCACAGCGGCCAAGCTGTATGCTGTAGCCCTCTCACTCTCCTTTTCAGAGAGCACCCGGCACTGCCGCCAACAACCGCCTCCCTGCGCACCTCTGCGTTGGAGCGTCTGCATTGATTGCGCAGCCTCGCCCCAACAGCTGTCGTTCCCGTTTTGGGCTCCGTCGAAATTGGATTCGCAGCTGCGATGCGATTTGCGGGCGGGCGCGTTCCTGTACTCTCTCAACTGGTTTCTTTTGGTCAGCCTCCTGCAGCCCCTGCTGGGGACGAGCGATTCGATCTTGTGTAATACTACGCGTGTACAACAAGAAATGGGGATTGCCGGCTGGTTTGTCCCCACCCCTTTTGTATTCGACTGCACCCGGAGCAACAAGCCCCAGAAGGGTCGCCTGCAAGTTTGTGTGCTGCACGCACCCACTGGCAACTGCGATGGCTTCGCTTGTGCATCAATATAGGGGCGCCTGCAGCCAAAGAGCAAGCGTTGCGGTCTGCGACACAAGGTGCTGGTACAGAAGAGGTGGGCAACGTACTGAGGGCTTCGGCAGTTGGTGCCGCTGCGTTGTGGCCAGGGCCCTTTGTCCTCCTTTGCGAGATTTAAGCGGTTTGGTACATGCCCATGAGGTTCAAGGATTGAATATGCTACGCAATGGCGAATTGGGTACTGTACCTGCTTTGCACGCTTTGCGGGCGCTGGGCGGGTGACAGAGCGAGGGGTGGGCAGCGGGGGGCTCAACACGGGTGACAAGTCCATCACATGAAGCTGAGGCCTTTGGTATGAGCCACAGAGCCCGCCACGCGCTCGTCCCCGCCCGAACGGCCCCTAGACGTTGGGCACTCGCTCGCCCTAACCTGAGTTCGCAGGCCCTAGGTCGCCTGAATAGTCGGCGCATCGGTTTCAATTATCTGTGTCCTGCATCTAGTTCCTGAGAAGCGTGCCATTGTGGCAGGATGCGCTCTCTGCTGGTCGCGGCCATCCTTTTGGCGTGCGCGCTGCCGTCGTCGTGGGCATATCCTTCGCTTTGGGCTAATAACCACGCCAACGGATGCCTTGATCTACCTGCGAAGGGTTACGGCAGCCATGGGTCCCCGGTCCCTGATCCGTGAGCATGGGATCGCTCATCCGGGCTCATCAAGGGCCTATATGGCGCGCAATATAGCAGCATTGCTTGTATCTTGCTCGGGGAATGCGGACGAGTCCGCGGTTGCGCGTCAGCGCCCGCGCGTCCTCCCGATGTGCTGCGCTCCACGTCGCCGCCCGCGCCCAGGCGCGGCAACCGCCGCGCCCGTCCCGCAGCCCACCAACCCCCCCTCTGCCGCCGCGACGCATACCTCCGATCCAACTCACACCCCTTCCTGCCTGCAGGGCAATCAGCTTCTCGTTTACAGACGGCACCGGCAAGGCGGTGCAGTCCATGTGCCCGGGCGGCGTCTACAGCGTGAACATCAAATTTCCAAAGAAGGTTCTTGCTATGCTGACGTCAACCGCCGGCTACATGAGCACGGACAAGCGCTGGTGCGCACCGACGCCTGCACGCGCGGACCTGCCGCCCCGCCTGGCTGCCCACGCCGCCCGCGGCCGCTGCCCGGCGGTTGGCCGGAGCCCCGCCCGTGCTCGCCGGCAGTCCGCGGCGGCGGCGGCGGCGGCCACGTCGCTGCGGCGAATGTTGTGCCCTTCACAGCCCTGCATCCCCCCTTTGTGCCTTGCATGGCAATGTTCGTGGAACGGGAGTTTTGATCGTGACAATTGCTGATCGTCGTTTGCAATCGCAGTTGGAATCGAGTGTACTCAGGAGACAAAGCGCTCTACGACGGCCTCAACACCAAGATCACGGTCCCCTGCCCCGCCGCTGGTGGGCGCCCCGCCGGGGGTCGCAGCGGCGCTGCCGGCTGTGACGGGGACAGCGGGGCGCGGGCGCACTGCGGGCGCGCGTGCAGCAGCGTCCGACATGAGCGCCCGCGGCTGCAGGCACGGCCGCTCGTGTCAGGCGTGGCTTCCAGGCGCACCCCTCACTGGATCCTTAGCGACCCGAGATGTGCACACACACAAGCGCAGCGCCAGCAACAGGACCCGGGACCTGACACCCACGGCCCGCACGCCCGCAGCGGCCCTCAACGACCGCACACACACCAGCGCCGCCCCACGCCAGCAGCGGCTCGCCCCAACCCCCGCAGCCCTGGGCGCAGTCCGCGCGCAACCGCCCCAAGGACTAGACCGAAACCCGACACCCTCTGCCATCTTTCATTGTCGCCTCACTCTCCGCAGGCCAGCCGCTGATATTTAATGTGGCCAGCGCCTCAGGCCCAAAGGACAACTACCATACAGCTGGCGCCCAAATCCCGGTCGGCTACACTGATGGGCCCTGCGCGGCCGTCTCGGACAAGGCGAAATGTGAGCGGTTGCAGCCGCGGCGGCGGTGGCTGTGCTTTTGGCGGCGGCGGCTTGGCCGACTCGGCAGGGGTGGTCCTGGGGCCCCGCGGCGATTCAGTGGGATGGGGCAGACTGCAGTGGGGGACAGGTTTCATAATCACATATGAACAAGGACCGCGTCTGAAAGAAGACCCGGCCCCACGCGTCAAGGCCAGCAGGGGCCGGCTGACGCCGCAGCCTCGTCCCTCCGCCCTTGGCTGCGCGGCCCGCTCGCGGCAACCGCTGCACTCAACGCCTCACGCGCCCGCGGCCCGCGGCCCGCCCGCAGGCGACCCCGTCCCGGACCCGAAGACCGCGCTCCCCGATGCCGCCGACCCCGCCGGCGCCCTCAACGCGACCGCCGCCGCCCCATCACTTAACGCGTCGGGCGTCGACGCCCTCGCCCCCGCCGCGACGCCCGACGCGCGGCCGGCCAACGGAGAGACGGTGACCATCGGGTTCGTCCCTATCAATGTCGCCGCCGTCCCCGGCAGCCGCGTGGCGCGCGTTCAGGCGGCGCAGGACCCGGCAGCGGCTGAGGACGAGGCGCTCATGGGCGTCAACGCCACAGCCGGCGACGCCGTGCAGCTGCGGCCGGTGATACAGCGCCAGCCCGGCGTGCCGCGCTCGCTCTGGGTGTTCCTGCACGCGGCGCTCATGATGGCGGGCTTCGCGCTGCTGCTGCCGCTGGGGCTGCTGCTGGGGCGCCACCGGTGGATGTTTGGGCGGGACCCTCGGACGGTGCGATGGGCGTGTTGGCGTGGCGTGGCGCGGCTGCGCGCGGGGCAGGTGCTCCAAACGGCGCTGGAGGGCGCCGTCAGGCGGCTGCGATTGCACGGCTAGCTGCTGCGCGTAGGGCTGCCTTGCTCGCACGCCAGCTCAAAAAGGGCGCGCCGCCAACGCCGCCCCTTCCCTCCCGCCGCCTCACGCTGCCGCGCGCCGTTGCCGCCGCCGCCGCTGCATCTGCTTGCGCAGGGCAAGGTGCTGGACAGCTGGGTGTGGGTGCAGGGCTTGGTGCAGGCGCTGGCGGTGATCTGCGGGCTCGTGGGCGTTACCATGGCCATCCTGGGGACGGTGCGACGATCTGAGCGCTGATCTGGGTGCTGATCTGGGCTCTGATCTGGGGGCCGGGTCGTCGTTTTGGGCTGTGCGGCGGGAAGGCATGCGTGCAACGCAGCTGCAGGGCTCAGGAACGGTAGGGCTGGGGACCGCAACCCCACGGCTCACGCGCCCCCCTCCGTTTGTATGTTCACAATGGCCCGCGCAGCTTGCGCCCCACGCACGGCGCGTTTGAACGCCCCGCGGCGCTCGCTCTCACGCCGCCTCCCCTTGCCCCCTCAAAACCGCCGCTTCGCTTAGGGCTGGAAGTCGATGCGCTCAGTCCCATACTACACGGGCCACAAATGGCTGGGCGTCGCCGTCGTCGCCGCGTCCCTCCTGCATGTCATCGCCCTGATTATCAAGCCCAACCTCGCCACCGGCGCCGGCCGCGCGTGGGCCGCCGCGCGCCGCGCCTTCGGCTGCGCCGTCGCGGCGGCGGGCGTCGCCAACGTGTTCATAGGAGCCGTCCTCATGCACGGGTACAAGCGCCAGCCGTACGCGTACTGGCTGGCGCCCGCGGCCGCGTGCGTCGGCGCGGTCGTGCTGCTGGCCGCGCTGCTCGAAGCTATAAAGATCCAGCTGCAGCGCACCCACAGATACTATCCAAAGACGGACCAGATGTTTGACGTGTCCAACACTTTCCACCACTCGTCTAAGCGCGGCGGCGCGGGGGGCGGCGCGGGGCCTGCGGCGGCGACCGTGGACGTGTTTGCGCGGTCAGAGGCGGGCGGCAGCAAGGTCTGAGCCGCCTGCATCCCGCACAAGGGCGCATGAAAAGGGTCGGATGCAAGAGAGGGCCTGCGCGCCGCCGCCGTCGGGCGCGTGCAGCTCACGACAGCGCACGCGCGTGTCGGCGGCCGTCGCATGGTGTGTTTTTGGGCAGCATTGATGGACTTCGGCTCTGCTGTGGGCACAGGCCAAGGCTTGATCTGGGTGATCCCGATTTTCTGTACAGTTGATATCGACGATTGTATCAGCAACTTATGGGGGGATGACTGCGGCCATCGGAAGTCGCTTTGTCACTTTTGCGAGGGCCCGGGCTCGTACGCTGCATTGCACTGCACATGCCTCCACACATGCACGCACGCTCTTCCCGCGCTCCAGGACGAATGCGGCTTGACGCACGTGGGCGCGCGCACCGACCCATCAGACAGCCGGCCGTCGGCCTTGCACATTCCCTCCTGGTCGCAGCGGGCGCCCGCTCATATAACGCACATAGTCTGCATGCTAGCGACACTTGGGGTCTCAGACTTTTTCCGCCTTGTGGGGAGTTTGTTATCGTATTGTGAAGATGAATCCATTGCCGCTGGCCCCAGCCCGGGTGCGTCCTGTTGAGGGGCGGTCCTGAGGCTCTTCCCTTTGTCTCTGTTGCTTTGTCTATTCTCTGACACCTTGCCTGAGAGGAAGCCTGCGGCCTTGCTGACGGCGAGGTGGGACCGCACGCAGCTCGCTGGGCCGCAAGCAGCCGAAGGTGGCCTCGCGTCTCTCGGCTGCTGCCGGGACTGAGGGAAGCGACGAGGGTGGGTTTAGCAGGGGCCGTGCTTGCCACCCGACGTGTGTGTTTGGAAGCAACACACGACCGTGAGCATATCCACTTTTGCATCGCTGCCCTCCTCTCCCTCGTGCATCACGCATGCAGCAATCGGGCCTGCCCAGATTCTCTGCGCACGGCTTGCTTACGATAGCTGGCATGACCGCGCATGCATTTCGCGCCACGCACGCGCCCATTGCTGTGGGCGTACAGACGCGGCTCCCTTGAATGGCGAGCGGCCGCATGCAAGCGCCCCCCTCTGCAGAGAGCTGTAAGAGGTAATCGCCTAGCCATGACGACGCCGTGTGTGTGCTCAATCATACGCGAAGCCGGCTGACCAGGGACATTAGCGGGGGAGGGGTTGCCCGGCATGGGGGCACAAATTGTGCGCGAGTACCATACTGCAGCAGCAGCAGGGGCATGGCTGAGACGTGGCTATCCTTGCAGAATTGACAATGCAACATCATAGAGGTTATGGGGACAATCTGCTGGATGAGACAATAGTTTGGGGGGCGCAGACCGCTGTCGGTCAGGTGCGCCTGGCCTCCCTGCTGGCCTGGGGTGGGTGTGCAGCACAGTGCGACCTGACCGCTGCTTGCTCTGCTGATTGCGTGGTTGGTCGCGCAATAAGCATAATCGTTTCGAATTATCACGTCCACTCGGCTGGTGTTTTGCATTCAAACACCCCGTGTTCGTTGCACAAAGACGGGCGAGCGCTGTCACTCGATCACGCCCTGCATGCGTCCGTGGTCGCACCGGAGGCACATCAGCATCACGCAGTAGTGCTCGGCCAAGGCGCAAGTCCTGATTGGGCTAGATCTCCCCCACCAGCACCTGGCCAGCGAACCAAACCTCATGTGGTGTTTCTCCTGCGGTTCTTCCGCCGTCAAGGGTGCGTACACTGACATATTCCGCTTTTCACCCGCGACCCCGCTCCTCTTCAGCTCGAGTCACTCGGATGACCATGCCCCCTGGGCGTGCCCCGCAGGCGAAGTGTCGGACGCGACCACCGGCCCGCGGCTCGCAGGCCCGCCCGACGCAGCCACCAAGCCCACTATCAGCAAGCGTCATGCTGACACGGCCAGCGACGCGCCGGCGGCGCGCGAGCGCCGTGACCAGACCGCTGTGAAATTCGACGATGCCCCGGCCCGGTCAGACGCTGCGGCGCCGGCGGCGGGGCCGGTTATTGATGCCTCGAGCGAGCGCGCGCGTGGCGCAGCCGCGCCCGTGAACGGCCCACCGGAGCCCGCCCGCGCCCCAGCGCCCGCGGCCCGTTCGCCGCTGGCGCCGCAGGCCGTTAGCGACAACGCGAGGCCGGGCCCCGCAGAGGGCGAGGAGCCCACAGCCGCGAACGCGGCCGGGACCCTGGTGGCGGAGGGCGGCGCGGCGGCGGCTGGAGGCGACGGCCCCGCCGGCAACGGGCCGGCCGCGGCGGACGCCGGGCCAAAGCGTGGCCCGCAGCCGGGGGCGCAGCTGGATGAGGGGGCCGCGGGGCTGGTTGCGGCTGCAGGGGCGGGGGCCGCAGGGGCGGCGGCAGCCCAAACCAAGGCGCTGCCAGATAAGGTTGCCCCAGAGGAGGCAGCGTCAGAGGCGGCAGTGCCCGAGGCGGCAGCTAAAGAGGCACCGGCCGCAGCACCTGCCGCTGGGGTCGAGGCCGCGGCAAACGAGGGGGCGACGGGCGAGGCGTCTGTGGACCAGCCTGCGGCAGATGAGGCAGCTGCGAACGAGGCAGCTGCGGACAAAGGGGCTACAGACGAGGCAGCTGCGGACGAGGCAGCCGCGGACAACGTCACGGCGTTCAAGGCGACTGCAGAGCCGGCCGCCTCAGCGGCGGTGGCGCCAGAGGCAGCACAGGTGCCAGAGGCGGCGGCGCGTCCAGAGGCGGCGGTTGCGAGGGACACGGCAGAGCCAGAGGCCGCGGCGCCAGAGGGCAAAGCTGCAGAGGCGGTGGCGCTCGAGCCAGCAGCCGCGAAGGAGGCAGTGCCAGAGGCGTCAGTGGAGGAGCCTGGCGCTGCTGCGCCAGAGGTGGCGGCACCAGAGGAGGCCGCGCCACAAATGGCGGCGCCAGAGGCGGCGACGGCAGCGGCGGTGGTCCCTGACGATGCTGCTGTGGCAGAGGCAGCTGCTCATAAGGCAGCTGCACAGAAGGCAGCTACAGAGGAAGCAGTGTCAGAGGCGGCGGGACAGGAGGCGGCCGCCCCAGATGAGTCCGCTGCACAGGCGCTTGCGCCAGAGGCGCTGGGACTGCAGGGCCCTGACCGGGTGGCCACGGCGCCGGCCCCTGAGGGTGCTGACTCAGCAGTGGGCCCCGAGGTTGCTGACTCAGCGGTGGAGGGCGAGGCGCCGCCGGTGCCGCGCGACGCCGCTCCTGTCCCGGCGGGAGGCGCGGAGGCGGCGGAGGAGGGGGCCGCTCAGCGCGCGGGCGAGGCTCAGGGCCAAGGCGGCCGCGCGGCGCAGGTGGATGTGGCACGCGAGGAAGCCCACGCCGCGGCGGAGGAGGAGGAGGGATGTACGGCGGCTGTTGGTGACAAGCACGCCGCAGACGTGCCGGCGGCCGGCGCCGCAGGCGCTGCTGGCGG